ATTAGATTGGACAGATGTTACTCAGGGTTTAAAAAACTTAAAGTACGCCCTCGTATTAGACAATTAAAATCATTGTCGTATGGCAAATTCTGGAGATCTATTAGGCTACCTCCCACAAAACAAACTGGCGGAACTTGTAGCAGGAATATTCCGCGGTGGCGATATAAAAATCACTTTATGCCACGGAAAAATTCAAGTTCCCCCTATCAAATTGAGACCGAAAATAATATCCAAGTTTCATAGTAGTCTTATAGGTGGTCACAAGGGTGTGACGAAAACTTACCGTAGAATACGCGAGCGATTCTACTGGCCAAGGATGCGAGACGTGGTGACTGAGTTTATTCGACAATGCAAAAGTTGTTTCAAGAATAAATTAGCCAGGGCCCGTACTCGCGATCCTATGATCATAACCGACACACCGGCTATGCCTTTCGACAAGGTATCTCTATATACTGTAGGGAAACTCCGAACCATCCCCAATGGGAACCGGCATATTCGCACAATGCAAGATAACTTTAGTAAGTATTGCATTGCCGTTCCCATCCCAGACATTAAAACCACCACTATCGCTCACACGGTGGCTACAAATCTCTTCGCAACATATGGGGCACCACGATGTGTACTCACAGATGGGGGCGGAAGCTTTGTGAGTTCTCCAATGAGGAAACTTGAAGGCATATTTGGCGTCAAACAACTCACAACATCTGGCTACAGGCCGCAAACCCACGGAGCACTTGTAACGTTCACAAAATCTTTTTCAAAATCATTATTTAAAATATCTAATAATAATGATAGTAATAATTATGTTATCTTAGTGTGGCATAATATTGTGTAAAATGCATAATATTGTATAACCTATTGTATGGTATAATTGTTATTGCATTATTATATTAAACCTAAAATTAATACGAAATTAAAAAGTGCAGTATAGACCAATACGGCAATTAAAGTTCATAAGAGGTCAAGACTGTCGCCACAGTACGTGACCATTAAAAGTCGTTCGCTTCTACAAAGAATAAGAGTAGAAGACTGACACAATGTAGCATATTTTTCGCACTCTGTAGACACATGCATATGGTGTCATACGAGGTCATCGCGGTCAATCACCTGATCATATAATCTGAATCGATTAAAGATCAACTAATCTTAGAATTAACGTATATTAATTATTTAATTAATTAGTATTATTGTTATTATATTCCATTTTACAAAATTAGTGTATGTTTGTATGATTGAATGTTTGTATAATTTTATTATTAATTTCACAAAAATAGGACCTTTTACATGACTTACATGTTTATTTATTTATTATTATTAACAATTAATATTTTTATTAATATCTTAATTAACTGAAAATAACTGGAATACATATATAAGTCATGTAATAAGATCATTTTTCCAAGAATTGTCTGGAGGAGAAGAACCAGTGCATTTCCCCACTTTTTACCAAGAAACAACAATGACTCCTCCCCATCAGATGAATTCTTATTAGTTATTATAAAGCAATTTAATTCAGATTGGGTAACAGTGACGATATAAATTATTTAATATGTTGATTGGCTATTTAAAATCGTCACAACGTCGCCTTTGCACCGTCACCCCTATACCAAAGGGTATAAAAGCCTGGAAATTCTCCTCCAGAACCGATACATTTTTCTGCAACAGTTTACTACAGACAGTTGTCTGTATTTCGGTTTTCTGTACTTTAATATTTATCCCATCATTAATAGATTCGTTTATTTATTCCGAAAGCGGATTCGGGCCTAATTGTCAAAATTAACAATTATATGGCATGGTCCATACGAACCATTGTACTCGGTATAATTTATTTCGGATTCTGATGTAAAATCTGGTCAAAGATCGGCATTCGAGTATTTTTACTTTCGATAAAAAGATAACCAAAATCTCGTACCCGTATTGACCTTCAACCAATTCTAAACATTGTTATAATATCTAAACACATAATTTATTTAACCATACTACGTATACATTCCTTCGAGGAAAGCACATAAGTAAGTTGTGAGTAATACTTGGTTGTAATACTTTATTATACTTATAATTTAATTTGATTTTATATTTTAGTTCGTATTATAATAAACTAATATTCTCTTGCATATATTTATATTTTATTTTCTTTTAACCTTTAATACTATTTTCTGTCAAATAAGTAAGAACAATTTCATAACGGTCCCCATAGGGCTGAGGCAAGAAACATTCCTACAAATAAATAAAACTAAAGCACGAATATTGCATTCATGTGAAATATTTGCTAACGACTTCCGAAGTATAAAATACCTTTTGACTACGCTTAACTTCAAAATTAAATATAAACGTAACAGTTAGCAAATTTTCTGGTGGCAGCGGTGGGATTCCTGCCAAAATTTGACATTGTTCTTAATTATAAATCTATCAGGTTCTTAACTCTGACAAGACTAATCACTCAAAATTATTACCTATTCTATCTCTGTTTTTCTTGATTTGAAATTGTGTAATTGTTAGAGAAATTTATATATTTTGTGTGCCTGTTCAAATTTATAATTTCATACATCATAACCCATTTGAACACTTCTTTAAAAAGAAGCCATTTTCGTGTCGATTATCACTTGATACAAAATTCTATCATTCAATAAACATTCATTTATCATCAATTCTTAAAATTTTTATAATAAATAAAATAAAAGAATCAATTTTATTTTATGTATACTTTGAAATTTTTATTTGGATTTGATTTGAATTGCACTTACCTGTCAATAAATCATAATTAAACACCAGCTTTTTATTGTTCGTTTTACTAGATTAAGTTAATTTTCACGTATATTATTATAATTTTTTTTATTTTTATTTTGACACTTGAATTCAATTGCTTGTGTCTTTAATTTACTTTAACTTATTTTTAATTTAGTGTAAGTTACTTTAATTTAGTTTTAATTACTTTTAGTTATTAATTTAAGTTATTTTTAAGTTACATTTAGTTGACACTTGAGCTTAATTGTTCGTGTCTTTAGTTTAATTTAGACTAAGTAATTTTAATTAGTATCTTAAGTTAACGAACAATAAATTGAATTCATATTATTACTTGGTTATGTAGTAAAATTTAATTTAATTTTAGTTAATTTTAAGTTAGTACCTTGAATTCTTGAGTGTACTGCTCGTATTCAATGGTTAAGTTACTTTAGTTACCTTTAGTTTTATTATAGTTTTATTTACCTTTTTGCTTGAGTGTACTGCTCGCATTAAAAGGAAAAATATTATAATAAATAAAAATTGATTCTTGATTTTCCTCAAACCATTTTTAAAATAAATTCTACCAAATTAACTAAAAATAAAGAAAATTTTAATTCGTTAATTACTGAATTAAGAAAAGAACTACACAACCAAACCGAAAACCTCAAAGCGGAATAAAATTTAAAAACTATTTATTTAAAAATAAAATTATTATATGTATTCTAGTAACATTACATTAAACACTATCTTTCCAAATTTAGAAATCGCATCAAACCCACATTTTCCTAATGGAAAAATTCGAACTCTAAAATACGACAAATCTTCTCTTGAAGATTTAACTGCAGAATACAATCTGTCCAAACCTATTTATTCTTTACACTATACAATTGGTTTAGAGCACGACAAAACTTTTTACGTAAAATGTGTTGTTAAAGATTATAATCAAAATAATTATTTTCAAGAAATAGGAGACGGTGAAAAACGACTAAAAGACGCTGAACATTCTGCAGCTAGAAAAATATTAGAATCTCTAAATAGAGTGTATTATTTTAGTGAACAGAAAAAGAATAATTCAGAGAAAACTTTTGTTATCTCACTACCTCTTGAAAATTCTATTAGACCAAAATTAAAATTATATAAGTGGACTAATTGTTGTGAATATTGTTTCCAACGTGGTCATACCCACTTATTTTGCTATAAACATAAATCTAATCCTAATAATCAAAAGGAAATTGAAAAATAAAATCAAACTTTTATTTTAATAACCCTACTGAGATACATCTTATTTTATTTTTTCTTATACGTATCAGTAATAAGTACGTGCAGGAAATTAGGATTAATGGTCTTTTTACAATAAATGACACCACCCCATAAAAAGAAACGCAAATATTATCAAAGACACTTTCGATCCCTTTTAAACATGACTGACGAAGCAAACAACCATCCAGGTGAACTTGTAGAACAACATAACCCTCAAAATAATGATGATAATACACTAGGTACCGAAATCGATCATAATGTAACTACTGAAATGGTCACAAGTATGGCAGAATGCATAGCGTTACAACAACCCAGACAGCACGCAAGTTGGCAGCAAACTTGCAGCCGACTTGCTTTGCTAGTTGGCTGCAAGCTGGCAGCCAATTTGAAATGTCCCACCCTTTGCAAACTTGCTGCCAACTTGCAGCAAGTTTGCAAAGGGTGGGACATTGCAAGTTGGCTGCCAGCTTGCAGCCAACTGGCAATGCAAGTTTGCTCCAAGTTTGCAAATTTTAGTAATTATTTAAAAAAATTTTTTTGAAAATCTGCTTTTTAACTCTTTTTTAAATGTAGACCATAAAATTAAATTTAAAATTAATCGAAAATCAAATGGATTTAATTATTTATGTTAATTTATGTTTTTTCATCTAAATTTTTTTATTCTTTTAAATTTAACCATTTTAGATAAAAATTATGAAAAATAATAATAGAATTTAATTCCTGTCACATCAGCTATTGATTAATTTTTGAAATATACTTGTTGCAAGCTTTTCAGATATATAAAAAAATTTTTAATTTAAAAATTACATTTCAATTTTTTTTGTATTTGAAAACCTTTCTGACATTATATAATTAATAACAAATATAATAACAAATAACAAACAAATATTTAATAATAAATGTGAAAAACAATATTTATTTTATTTTAATTCGTAGAAAAATATTTGCTTTTCAAGCTGCTTATTGATTTTTTTTTTAAATTAGCATTTCAAAGATTTTGAAAAGCAGTTTTTGATAATAAAATTTACAATGTTTGTACAACTTATTTATTGTCAAGTCTTGTCTTCCTTGAAGAGTCCACAGATGGAATTTGTAGTTCCGAAACCTGCTAAACGTTTGAACCTAATAAAAAATAAAAAATTCTTATATTTATAAAAGTATGCATTAAAATAGTTAATTTAAGTATGAAAAATTTTTAATTCATAATTTTTTCTTTAAAATTATAAAATTTATAAAATTCTTTACAAGGAAAGAATGTTTTTTTAAAAGTTTATTATATATAAAAATAAGAAATATAAAATATGAAAATAAAAATATGTTTGGCAAACACAGAAAAACATTAGCAATTAACAATTCATTTTTGAATTCAATAAATTAAAAAATTAACCTTTATCAAAGATTAAAATTTTTTTATTTTTCGAAAAACCTACAAATTACAACTTAAAAAAATATTAGAAATTACTTAAAAAATAATTAAAAAATGGTGAAATCAACAGATCGTGTTACAAAAATTACAAACAAATTTTGAAAAGATCAGGGGCGTATCCAGGGGAGGGGTTTGGGGGTTGAAACCCCCCCCCCCGAAATGTTAGATTTTTTTACCCCTTTCACTTTTTTCAAAGGCAAAAAATAAAATTTACTCTTACAAAATCCCCCCCGAAATTTTTTTCTGGCTACGCCCCTGGAAAAGATAAAGTAGAAATATATAAAATAAGAATATTAAAAATAGATTTGACAATAAATTAAAGCTTTTTTAGGAGCATTTAAAATTGATTTAATGAATAATTACGAATTTTTTAATGAAAATTAATTCAAGAAGTTCTGTGTAGAAAATTTTATTTATTTAAATAAATATTTAATACTTACGTTTTTTGTTTACTTTAATAACGGTGTATGCCTTAAGGGAAGCAAAATTAGGTCCTCATTCGTTGGTATTCGCCATACTTTTGAATGAAAATTGGTGATAGGGGTTGAGAACTCTGATCTTCGTGAATCTGTTGCCATATGTATATTGATGTCCCTTGAATCTGGAGTATCGTAGACGCTGCTGGTTTTTGTGAATGGTTTGACAATTAAAAGGATATCATTCGTATTGGATATTACAATGTTTGTTACTTTTCCGAAAGTACCATCTCGCAAAAGAATGCAACTGTCCTTAGGCGTGCTACAGTCAATTGTAAAGTCCTCGTGCTTTAATGCTTTATATTGCTTTTTGATGTTTGTGCAATTCTTAGTTATTGGACCGCTGTTGTGTGTTTTAAAGAAAGAGTATGGGGTTTCATTTTTTAACTTCTTAATACTTTGGCGTTCGGAATATCGACGAGCAATTTGTTCCAGAGGCTTGTGACCTTTCCTAATCATTCTCTTTTTGGAGGACATCTCGTTTTCAAATTTGAAAGCACTGAATTCATCAAGAGCTCCATATTCTTCTACATCTTCACAGATGTGCAATAAATTATGCACATTGTGCGAAACAAACTGTTTACCGTAAATGCGTTGAAAGCCTAGAACAAACTTTTTCAACATTTCCTGAGATTTATTTATATTCTCTGGCACTTTAACAAGAGTTTTACTCACGAGAATTGATGTAGCATTATGCAGCAATAAAAAATTTTCATAAATTTCTTGATTTACAATATTTTCTAGAGCAATGGGGCCTGTATACAAAAGAAAAGTTCTGAATTCGGTGGCCTTCCAATGAACGAATTCTAGAAGGGAACGAGCTTTCCTATTAAATTCTGCTGGGATACTTTTTTTTTAAATCATTAATGTTTTTGAAATTGCAGTAATTTCTGATGCTTCCAATTTTGGACCCATTATCCAAAGACGAATAAGTTTCTTCATAACTCCTAGTAAAATAAGGTGCATATAATCGAGTGGAATTGATGTTATGCAGCCAAAGTTTGGAATTTTCTTTAAAATGGTTTCCTTCCCGTCATCACATTCTTTATAATCATTATCTGCAAATCCTTTGTCGGTCTTCATGTCAAAAGGTCCAATTCCAGGAACGCAAACAGTCCCTCTACGTTTTTTTCCATTTCGCTTATTTTTTCGGCTAATATATTCACCTTTTATTTGACATTTTGTGCAGCTATTCTATCCAGTGTGTCCTTTTAAATAGAGAATAAAAGATTTCGCAGGAGCATCACAAGTTATAATGGAACAATTAATTTTGATCTTCTTTTCTCCAAAACCATTTTCAATTAAGGAAATTAATTCTTCAACAAAGTCTTTCAGATACTCATTAGCATCAGCTGGTTTCTTCTTACCATAAAATACTGCAACTAGATAAACATTCTTCGTATTTCTTTCTGAACACGAAATTATCAACAAATTTTCGGTGCCAGAATTAGAGATTGGCAAATTATTGCATTTATTGCTCGTTCCAAACCGAAGTAATGATATTCTCCTCCACCAAATTCCAAAATTGTAACGTTTTTTACAGTTCCCATTAACGTTCTGGCATCTGATGGTAAGCAGAAAGGCAAAAATGGTTTTAGTATTAGTAGTAAAGCTGTTAACGCCACTAAGCTAATGTGGAATTTCAGAGCCCATTGCCGTAATGATTCTTTTAGTTGATTTCCTCGTTGCATCTCTTCTTTATGATCTTGGATATCTTCTTCTTCCTCTAAATTTAAATCGGTCGATTCATCAGCCTCAGAATCAATTGAAAGCGAATCATCAGAAAAACAATCATCCATGTAATCGTCATCAAATATCGAACTTCCACAGCTCTCGTCCAAATCTAATGTTTGATCGTAATCCTCCGATGTGACCTCTGCAGATGTGATATCCTCAGACGTGATCTGTTCCCTATTGAAAATCAACTTTTAAGCCAAAATTCCTAAACTTGTAATAGTTTACTTTTTTTTATTTTTCTACAACACAAAAGTTTATTTCCTAAGCTAAAGAAGACCGTGAATGGACGTCATTAAACCAAAACCAATTACACCTAGAATATTAATGACTTATTCAGGAGCAAATTTTCAAACGTTGATAAATTTATCTTCCAACAAAATTGAGATAAACACATATTTAAGAAATTAAAAACCTTAGAAATTGATCTATTACTGTTAAATTAAAGAAAAAAAATTTTATTAATTGAATTTTCAGTTTAAAAAATTTGAATATCACCTATATGATTTTTAATTTAAATATTTTTTTATTAGCAAAAATTACCAAAACATTGAAATAATCATATTACAATAAACCTTAATTAAAAAAAAATGTCTCAACATCCAAAAACAGTCTTATATAAATATTTAATTACAATTTAATTTTGAAAAAATTTTTTACCTCATAATTAACCTTAGTGGTTATGTGAAAAATAAAATTTATTCAAATTTCTCGAAAAAACAAAATATGGATTTATCAACTTTCGGATACTTGCTCCTCAATCACATAAACTGGTATATAAATTTGCCTTAAAAACGTTAAATTAAAAATACTTTTACTGGAAAAAAATTTATTTTCTATTATACTTCATTTGTTTCACCAAAAATTAATAATTTTTTTTATTATCATAGTGTGTACAAATGATTATGTTTCAGAAATAAGATTTTGTAGTAATGTCAAAAAAAATTTTGTTAATGGTTTTAAAATATCAGTATGTGGGAGAAAGTTTTTGTATATTACGTTGTTCTCTGAAATGAAAAGTGGTTTTAGGTTAAAATTTTGAGGAATGATAGGGGAGAGTATAAGGAACCCGTCCGTTCTCCCCATTGACAATAATTTTACGGAAAAACAATGAAAATTAAGCAATAAGTGGGAAATTAATGCATTTTTGTAGCTGATTGAGTGTCCGCATTTAGCAAAAGCACGCATTGTGGCGCCACGTACTGGGGACACAATACACTCACATGACGTCGGTGTGCTAACCGCCATCTTGTTTTTTCGAAATGCACAATATTTCACATTTTCAACTACTTTTTTTCAATACTTTAATTGCAAATTTCGTTAAATAGTGAGAACGGAGCCATTAATTCAACTCTCCCCTATTATCCCTGACAATCTCAACCTTGTCTCTTTTCTCATTTCAAAGAACAATGTCATATACGAAACCACTTTTTTCTACAGGCGCCGCTCATTTTCTCCCACATGCCGTTGAAGGATTTATAGAAATTTAATTTTTCCACTTAATACAAATTATTTTTCAAAAACCTGAATTTAATATTTAACTTTTCATTTACTGTTATTATTGAAGTATTAAATTAATAAAAATTTATAAATTTTAAAATATTTACAACAAACTTTCCAATTTTCTTTGCATGTTCTTTTTTTTAAATATATAAATTATATTTTTTTTTAAATTTTGTTATAAGTACCTAACTATTTAATAAAATTTTATTGTTTTTATAATTAAGAGACGTGAATTGCTGGATGTGAACCAGTGTCTGTACGTTTAATAATAAATTTAGAAAAATAAACTTATCTTAAAATTTTTATTACATTGATAGATATTGACTGTTGCTATATACATATGAAATATGTATTATGATCAATAACACCGGCACACAAAAAAAAATTTCGAGTGCGAAGACCGCCACATGGTAGGTTCTCTTCCTTAAGATGTATCTAAAGAGAAAATCCTAGTCCGACCTCGAGTTTGGTTCTTGTTTCATTTTTACAGGCCTGGTGGAGGGGTGTAGTTTGAGAAATTAACATATATGGGAATTTAATTTCTTTTATCAACTGAAAGTGAATGTTTGCTTATTCTAACTGTGGATTTTGATTCAGAGGCTCTAATTACATGAAAATTTAATAAATACACAAATTTAAAAATGGCGGACCTAAAATGGTGGATTTTTTGAAAAATTTGCTTGGATTTCCTTGAAACTTGTTACTAGGGGGTTTTTCGGGTCGCTGATTACGAATTTGATGTCAAATTTTATAAATTCAATATGGCGGATCCAATATGGCGGACCTAAAATGGTGGATTTTTGAAAAATTTGTATGGATGTCCTTGAAACTTGTTACTAGGGGGTTTTTGGGGTCGCTGATTACGAATTTGATGTTAGTTTTTCAAAATTCAAAATGGCGGATCTAATATGGCGGACCTAAAATGGTGGATTTTTGAAAAATTTGTTTGGATTTTTTGAAACTTGTTACTAGGGGGTTTTTGGGGTCGCTGATTACGAATTTGATGTTAGTTTTTTGAAATTCAAAATGGCGGATCCAATATGGCTGAAAATTTTCGAAAAATTGTTTGGTTTTTGTCAAAAATTGTTATTTTGGGCTGTTTAGGTTGCTGAATATGATTTTAATGTCAACTTTAATACATTAAAAATAGCGTATTTGAAATGCCGAGTTATGGTCGACTTATTTCGAATTTAATTTGAATTTGTTTAAAACATTAAGACTTATTAAAAAGACTTCTTTTGAAATGGGCCGAATTTGCGATTTTCGTTTCATAGTTTAAATTAGCAAAGTAGTAGGTGCGAAATTTTTTCAATCTTAACTTATGTTGCTTAGAAGTGTCAGAATCTTATTCAGCAACCTAAACAGCCCAAAATAGCAATTTTTTACAAAAACCAAACAATTTTTCGAAAATTTTCAGCCATATTAGATCCGCCATTTTGAATTTCAAAAAACTAATATCAAATTCGTAATCAGCGACCCCAAAAACCCCCTAGTATCAAGTTTCAAGAAAATCCAAACAAATTTTTCAAAAATCCACCATTTTAGGTCCGCCATTTTGAATTTTAAAACTAACATCAAATTCGTAATCAGCGACCCCAAAAACCCCCTAGTAACAAGTTTCAAGGAAATCCAAACAAATTTTTCAAAAATCCACCATTTTAGGTCCGCCATATTGGATCCGCCATATTGAATTTATAAAATTTGACATCAAATTCGTAATCAGCGACCCGAAAAACCCCCTTGTAACAAGTTTCAAGGAAATCCAAGCAAATTTTTCAAAAAATCCACCATTTCAGGTCCGCCATATTGGATCCGCCATTTTTAAATTTGTGTATTTATTAAATTTTCATGTAATTAGAGCCACTGAATCAAAATCCACAGTTAGAATAAGCAAACATTCACTTACAGTTGATAAAAGAAATTAAATTCCCATATATGTTAATTTCTCAAACTACACCCCTCCACCAGGCCTGTAAAAATGAAACAAGAACCAAACTCGAGGTCGGACTAGGATTTTCTCTTTAGATACATCTTAAGGAAGAGAACCTACCATGTGGCGGTCTTCGCACTCGAAATTTTTTTTTTGTGTGCCGGTGTAATCTGACACAAACTAACAATTTTTCAAAATATATTTAAATTACCTGAGTAAACTACAGTAATGAATATATTTTATTTAATATATTTCCAATGAATTGAATATAAAAATAAAAAGTATTCATATTGTTATTATTAATTTTTCGACGATAGCAGTCGACTGTCTAAATTTGTTGAAAACTCTTGCAGAAATCGGGACTGAACGTCGTACAATTAAAATTTTTTTGTTCAAGCATTGAAACAAATAATAAGTCTTTTAAACTAAGTTATTTAACTTTCAAAGGATAAAAACTGTTTGTAAACATTATAAAATTCAATTCTTAATTTCCAAGAAATATTAAGGACTTTAAATTTTTTTAAATTTCCTATTCCAAAAAATTACACAATCATTTCTAAAATATCACAATTACAATATAACAAAATTAATCATCAACGGTTACGTGTATATAAAATATTGAATGGATTGACTTTTTTATATTTAAATTCTTATAATTAACATAAATTATTTATTTAAAAAA